TGGTGTGTGTGTAGAGCAGGAGAGTGGTTTGTGTGTGTGTGTGTAGAGCAGGAGAGTGGTGTGTGTGTGTGTGTGTGTAGAGCAGGAGAGTGGTGTGTGTGTGTGTAGAGCAGGAGAGTGGTGTGTGTGTGTGTAGAGCAGGAGAGTGGTGTGTGTGTGTGTGTGTATATAGAGCTGGAGAGTGGTGTGTGTATGTGTGTGTGTGTGTGTAGAGCAGGAGAGTGGTGTGTGTGTGTGTAGAGCAGGAGAGTGGTGTGTGTGTGTGTGTGTGTGTGTGTGTGTGTGTGTGTGTGTAGAGCAGGAGACTGGTGTGTGTGTGTAGAGCAGGAGAGTGGTGTGTGTGTGTGTACAGCAGGAGAGTGGTGTGTGTGTGTGTGTGTGTGTGTGTGTGTGTACAGCAGGAGAGTGGTGTGTGTGTGTGTACAGCAGGAGAGTGGTGTGTGTGTGTGTGTGTGTGTGTGTGTGTGTGTGTGTGTAGAGCAGGAGAGTGGTTGTGTGTGTGTGTGTGTGTGTACAGCAGGAGAGTGGTGTGTGTGTGTGTGTGTGTGTGTGTGTAGAGCAGGAGAGTGGTGTTTGTGTGTACAGCAGGAGAGTGGTGTGTGTGTGTGTGTGTAGAGCAGGAGAGTGGTGTTTGTGTGTACAGCAGGAGAGTGGTGTGTGTGTGTGTGTGTGTGTACAGCAGGAGAGTGGTGTGTGTGTGTGTACAGCAGGAGAGTGGTGTGTGTGTGTGTACAGCAGGAGAGTGGTGTGTGTGTGTGTGTGTGTGTGTAGAGCAGGAGAGTGGTTGTGTGTGTGTGTGTAGAGCAGGAGAGTGGTGTGTGTGTGTGTGTGTGTGTGTGTGTGTGTGTGTAGAGCAGGAGAGTTGTCAGAGCCGGGACTAGAACTCGGGTCTCTGGCGTGAGAGTCAGAAGCCCCTTTCACACAGCGCTTTGAACCCGGCAAATTGCCAGAGTGCCTTCTGTGTGAACGCAAACACGACCCGGGACTGATGCCGGGATCAATGCCGGTGTTCTGACGATTTGTGCTGCCTTGTCGAAAAATGCTACCGTAACGCGAATCGATCACAGAATGTCGATTAATATTATATGAAATACAATTATAATACAATTCTAAGTTATGATTAGCTACTGTATACTGTAGACTACTGTTTTTATTTTTAAAACGGTGTGAAAATTAAAAATTATCATCAAATATTCATCTTTGACTTGTCAAAGCACACTTTTCCTTAGTAACTGAAACTTTCAGTTATTATTGTTCAGCTGGCTGACCGTACACATATTCATATGCTAGTTAGCATTTTTAAAGGGAAATTACAATATAACACATGAAAATGTACCTTTTGTTAAAAAAAACTGTGCGTCTGCACATGCGCATAACCATTAAGTAGCAAATCTCGATGGGTAGCATGAATCGTCAGAACACCGGGTTGGGGACCTAGTAACATTGCCATGTTCAGACCCGGAACGCGGGCTGTGTGAACAAAAGCCGTAACCAATGCCGTGTCGTAATGATGACGCTGAAGTGAAGTGAAAGCAGGCTAGTGAAACGGTACGTAATGCGCTAGTTTATGATCGAATCAGAGAAAAAAATGCACAAGCGTGGTTTCTCCAGAGAGACATCGCAGCTCATAAGCAAACTATACACGCTGCTGAGACATTACATGTAACATCGATGTCACGTGTCTTTCCGGAACATACACGGGTTGTGTGTGAACGCGCTCTCTGATTCCAGCAAATCACTGGCAGTGTGAATGAAGCAAAATCAAACGAACCCGGGTCAAATCCCGGGTCGCTTTATCCGTGTATTTTCCGGAATCTCTGTGTGAAAGGGGCTAGACACTCAATCCTTGAGCCACTGGAGATGGTGAACCCAACAGTGAGACGCAGTCAGAAGAAGAGGAGGTGCAGAATTAGTTTTAATACAAATATAAGCAACAGAAATCCACAGCTGGAGCAAAAATCATCACCTCGCACCTGACGGGAATCCAGTATTCGGTGGACTGTGTAAGCTGGTTGGCCTCCAAAGGAGGAGGGGAGGTTTACCTGCTGGAGCAAAAGGAGAAGACAACACGGGTTTTAGAAGGGAGACATGAAATATGGGATTAATCTTTAAGGACCTAGGCAAATATAAACGGTAAGTAACAGGGTTAACTTTCCTTGCCACTTTGAAAGGTCCAATGAATCGCTGGGAGAGCTTCCGGGACTCTCCTCGTAAGGGAAGGTTCTTAGTGGAGAGCCAAACTCTCTGTCCGGGATGCAGGGTGGGGGCAGGTCTGCGTCTACGGTTAGCCTGTCGCTGGTACTGCTCAGAGACTCTAAGAAGCTTGTGTCGAGCCTTCCTCCAAGTCAGACGACAGCGTCGGATGAACTGCAGAGCTGAGGGAACTCCTACTTCAATTTCTTGGTCTGGGAACAGTGGAGGGGCGTAACCAAACTGGCATTCGAAGGGAGACATGCCTGTCGCAGAGGAGCGTAGAGTGTTGTGGGCATATTATGCCCACATAATGAAAGATGACCAGGACGATGGGTTATTGGCAGCCATGCACCTCAGTGTTGTCTCCAGATCCTGGTTTAACCTCTCTGTTTGGCCATTGGACTCAGGGTGGAATCCAGAAGATAGGCTCACAGTTGCCCCAAAAGTTGACAGAATGCCTGCCAGAATCGAGAGGAAAACTGAGGTCCTCGATCAGAAACAATGTCCTGTGGGATGCCAAAAACTCGAAAAACATGGTTAATGACCAACTCCGCAGTCTCTTTAGCAGTGGGCAATTTTGGCAAGGGGATGAATCTGCCAGCCTTAGAAAACCTGTCAACAATGACCATAATGGTGGTGTTACCTTGGGATGGCGGGAGTCCGGTAATAAAATCCATGGAGAGGTGTGACCAGGGTCTTCGAGGTATAGAGAGAGGGTGGAGCAACCCCTGATGTAAGCGACGAGAGACCTTCCCCTGACTGCATGTGGAACAGGCACTTACAAAGGTCTTTGTATCCTCCTTGATGGTCGGCCACCAAAACCGTCTCTGGAGAAATTCAAGGGTGCGAGTGGTGCCTGGATGGCAGTTCAGACGAGAGACATGACCCCACTGGAGAACCTGAGAGCGGACAGCTTTAGGGACGAACAAGCGGTTGGTTGGCCCACCTCCTGGGTCCGGTTCCTGGGCCTGGGCTTGTCTTACTTTATTTTCAAGTTCCCATCTTACGGGGGCCACTATCTTGGAGCTCGGGATAATGGGTGTGACAGGATCTTCTTGGTTGCTGCTAGAGTATACTCGAGACAGAGCATCAGGTTTGAGATTTTTGGATCCGGGACGGTAGGATAAAATGAATTGAAACCGGTTGAAAAATAGAGACCAGCGTGCCTGACGAGGGTTGAGTCGCTTGGCCTGCTGAATGTACTCTAAATTTTTGTGGTCAGTGAGTACTTGGAATGGGTGTTTGGCCCCCTCAAGCCAATGTCTCCATTCTTCAAGCGCCAGTTTAACAGCCAGTAACTCAAGGTCTCCCACATGGTAATTCCTTTCTGTTGGTGTAAGACGGTGTGAAAGGAATGCACATGGCCGAAGTCTGTTATCCCCCCCCCCCTCTGGGAAAGCACTGCTCCAACACCCACATCCAAAGCGTCCACCTCCACAACGAAGAGTTTGTCTGGGTCTGGGAGAATGAGGATGGGAGCTGAAACAAAGTGGCGTTTGAGTTCATTAAAAGCCAGCTCAGCTTCAGGACTCCAGCAAAACCCAGCATTATTCCCTTTAGTGAGAGCAGAAAGGGGAGCCACCACAGAGCTGAATTTCAAAATGAATTTGCGGTAAAAGTTGGCAAAGCCAAGAAACCGCTGCACCTCCTTCACAGACCCAGGAGTGGGCCAATCCGTGACTGCTTGAACCTTCTGGGGATCCATTTGAATATGGCCGGGCTTAATGATGAATCCCAGAAATTGTGCTTGGGTCACATGGAATTCACATTTCTCAGGTTTAACATAAAGGTGATTATCGAGGAGGCATCTGAGAACCTTCCTGACATGCTCCATGTGTTCATTAAAGGGGACTTGAAAAAATAAGAATATCGTCCAGGTAGACAAATACAAACTGATTGAGCATATCTCGAAGGACATCATTTATCAGAGCCTGGAAAACTGCAGGAGCGTTGGTGAGGCCGAAGGGCATAACTAGGTACTCATAGTGCCCGGTGGGAGTGTTGAATGCGGTCTTCCACTCATCCCCTTGTCTAATGTGCACTAGATGGTAAGCATTGCGCCAGTCGAGTTTGGTGAATATGGAAGCTCCCTGCAGTATCTCAAAAGCTGTGGCCATAAGCGGCAAGGGGTAACGGTTCCGGATAGTGATTTTGTTAAG